TCTGGGTGGGGATGAGCCGCTGGGACCCTGGAACCCTTTGCCTATACCAGAGCTAGTTCAGCTGAATTTTATATACTAGAGTGAACTCACCAAATCCCCCCATCTATCGACACTGTTGAGGCTGATTTGCGTAAGTTTGAACTTGCCGATTTGATTTTTTTTTTATTTTTGAGTGGCAATTCCTGGTTTCCTTAGTCTAGATGAAATCTTCAACCAACAAGTCAGTTTTGTGAAAAATGATACCCTATTCTAGACCCAAACGTTCTGATTTATATACCCTATCCTAGAGTAAACTACTTGAAAACCATACCCTTCACAGCGGCACATACCTATATAGTCCATTTATGGCAGTACCCCCCCCCCGGATAGCTTGAGTATCAGGCTTTTCGAAAGTAAGAGGAGAAGAAAGTCCTGATACTCAGGCTATCAACTGGACGAGCGAATGTACGTTGTAAAATATAAAGGAGACTTTGTTGATTCACGATTTACTGAATGAAAACATAGGCAGTGAGGAACTTTTTCTCTACTAACTTGGTCTGGAAAGCTTGTATGAGAATTTATAATTTCATGTTTCTAATAGGGTACTAGTATTTTATTTTACCTTTAATTTTGTTGTTGTTGTTGTTGTAATTTTGCTTGGCGGTAGTTTCTGAAGCGCTGTTGCATACGAAAAGTCAACGGGTTTGAAACTCATTTTTACGACACACGTTGATTTGTCATGTTTGTCACCGTATTGTGCCTTTTATTCCTTACAATTTCACTTTGTAGTGTGCTGGTACGGTGGCTAAATGACGGAACTCTGTTTTTACTCATTTCAAGAGCAGTATGCTTTCAAGATTTGGAATCGCTGTTCTTTATTCTGGATTATTCCCTGAGTCCAGCCCAGAATTTTTCTATCTTGCATAATCAATGCCCTATCAACACCGGCTTTGACGTCATAGGCTCGAGAAACCGCCAGCGGAGTCTCTTTCAGGGCGCCATCTTATATCGAAGAGTGTTTAGTTAGTAGAATCTTTAACCATCGAACCTGCCATCCACTCTCTAACAAAATAGTTCTGGCTATATTAGTTATATTAAACGTAAAAGAAACTTTATAGGTTATGGCCGATGGTGAAAAGCTCAATGTTGACAGCATTATAGCTCGGCTTTTGGAAGGTTGGTTTCCTCGATTCAGATGCCTACGGTACGGTATTCAGACCTAATATTTGCATGAGTTTGAAATTATCTCTTGCCTTTCAGTTCGAGGTTCAAGACCAGGAAAGAATGTACAACTTACAGAGGCAGAAATTCGAGGGCTATGTTTAAAATCGCGAGAAATTTTTTTAAGCCAACCGATCCTTCTGGAACTGGAAGCTCCGCTCAAAATCTGCGGTGAGTAAACGCGGTGTCGTTGATGTAATTTTTTACGCCCAAATTGAGTGCACTTTTGTTCGATTTAAAGATAATTTAACGTTAATTTTTCATCTCTTACAGGCGACATTCATGGGCAATACTATGATCTTCTCAGATTATTCGAGTATGGCGGTTTTCCACCAGAATCGAACTACCTGTTCTTGGGAGATTATGTAGATCGAGGAAAACAGTCACTGGAGACGATATGCTTGCTTTTAGCATATAAAATCAAGTATCCAGAAAACTTCTTCCTTTTACGAGGAAATCACGAGTGTGCTAGTATTAACCGAATTTATGGCTTTTATGACGAATGTAAGTAAACAGTTTCAAATTGTCAAATGGGCTGTGTCTCATTATTGCATCGTTAATTTTATACTTTTTCGAGTTGCTGCAGATTCAAACTTGTCGTTGCAAACACATTAAGTTGCTAAAATGCCAAACTTTCGCCTGGAGCGTGTATTTTTTGATTCATAATGTACTTTCTTGTTTGTTAATCTATCAAGGTAAAAGAAGGTACAATATAAAGTTATGGAAAACATTCACCGACTGCTTCAACTGTCTTCCTGTAGCAGCTATCTTGGACGAGAAAATATTTTGCTGCCATGGAGGTAAGGAGATTCCGCTAAAGCTAGTAAGCTTAACTGAACAACTAATCAAGAATGAAAATGGTTCTTGTTGTTTGTTTGAATAATACTTCAAATCGAGAGCGTGCGAGCTCGTGTGTAATAGTGAAAATAGGATTTCGAAACTTTTCTGTTGATTCGATTCACAGGTTTGTCGCCTGATTTGCAATCCATGGAACAGATTCGCCGAATTATGCGGCCCACTGATGTTCCTGACCAAGGTAAAGCCAAATAAAATATGACATTTCTAGCGTTGTGTTGAGGTGAACGTTTGTCTTGAAGTTTCGGTATCCTTATAGATTGATATTTTTGAAAATGAAGCTTTTATTGTGAGTGGTTTTGAACGGAAAGACAGGAAAATTCAGGTAATTGTTTAATTATGTGCACGGAGTTCAACCGTGAAAAAGGACTTGTAATTTACATTCAAGCGAAATTACGGGGATAGCAAATGAGAAATAGATGTCAAACGGACTCGGTAGTTGTGTAATTATGTCTTCAAGAGTGCAGTTTGTTCCGATTCGACTTTACTCTGTCTTAAATGCATTTAAATTATTAATGAGCAAGTTGATTCGGCGAAGGTATCTTTTGCCTGAAGTTAAAAGTATAGGGGAAAAAAAGCAAAAATAACGTTTCTGCAGCTTTTCGAAAAGAAGTGTTAAAGGAAAAGTGATGGTAGTGAAAGAGTTTTATTTGAGATGAAAGTGATGTCAATTCGTTTATTTATGTGTCAAATCATTTCTTGTGTCCAGTTCGGAATGTTTGTGTCGTAGTTGTCTGTTAAATTTATTTGAAACACACAAGCGGTGTTGACTGAGCCCTCAAAAACGAATGCAATCTTATGCTCTCACGCGGAAGCATTTTTCTCACAAATTTAAAGTATATTTATTTAAAAGTTCCTTTTGAGATAGAATATTGCTTGAACCATAAGTCTGGTAATAATTCACCCTGTGTTCCCTTTATGCCTTGTTCAAGCACTTTCCAATGGTGTAAGGACAGTCCAACTTTCTGTTTCAGTGTGATGCTGATCAGTGGGTTCACGCTGACCAGGATCAAAATAGTTCTTTTATAAGGTTGCATTTCTGTGTGGAATAAACAAAAACACATCTCAAACACTTCTGTTTTTTCAAAATTTTGTTATTTAAACGGACTACATTGGTATGTGCAATGAATCAACACGAGTATTGTCTTCATATATTTTTCAGTAGAGCATACCCCCACCTCCTCTTAGTGAGGTGAAATCTTAACAGCTATGCTGTCTATTCACTCTTTTGCAAGAAATTAACTTGGGAACTCTGTGGTTAATTGGATTGTCAAGTCTTTGCCTCACTGGAATTATTAAAATAAAACTGGATTAGCTACTAAAATGTTTTTGAACAATGTAACAGTGAGTAACATAAAAATAGTTGTTGGCATTCATGAAATTTTCAGGTACATTGTATAATCTCAAGTACAATTTTTGAATGTTTTTTTTAGGATTACTCTGTGACTTGTTGTGGTCAGATCCCGATAAAGATGTCCAGGGATGGGGAGAAAATGACAGGGGGGTGTCCTTTACCTTTGGCCCAGATATTGTGTCTAAATTTCTTGCCAAGCACGACCTGGATCTTATCTGTAGAGCTCATCAGGTAAATAGTACACCTGTTATTGTATGTTGTGCCATTATTATCTTGGGGTATGACTGGTTGTTTAATGTATCTAGTCGCATATGAGGCTGTGAATCAAAGTGCCAGCTAATGCTGATGTCAGCCTTGTTGTTTTACAAGATAGATTTTTTCACTCCTTTTGGTGTTAGCTGGGAAGTATAGTAAAGTGTTTGACTTGAAAAAAAAAATTAAAGTCAAACTTGGGAAAAACTGGCCCACCCTCCTGATTTCACCTTATCCCCCTTAACCCATTGACTCCTGTGCTGCCTGTAACCAGCCATGACAAGCCTTGGCCTTTGTTCCACTTCTGAGGTCATCATCTTTGACCAAAATTGGCATCATCTATCATCTATGCTCAACTTCTGTAGGAGGAAAAGATCTTTCCAATGATACCCAGATCAGAGTGATCGGCTCAGTGGATCCTGAAATATGCATGAAAATGCTAAAAAAGTTGAGTGAAAAACTCGGAGCAAAATTTCCTGCGACTATATGTAGCTACTCCACAGTAATAATAATTATTGCTTGTCTTGATGCTTTCTCAGAATTTTTTGAACTGGAAGCAAGCCCAGTAGAAGGTCAATCACTGCAGCAAAAAGAAAAGAAAAGGAGAAATATCAAAGGCGAAAAAAAAAGCAAAAAAATCAAAAAGCCTAAAGATGTAGGTCACTTTCTTGTCCAAAAATTGATTTCTGCGCATGCCCGATCAAAAATGTTGTAAAACACGATGCTGGTGGAAAGAAAGGCATGCTGTCTTGTTGCAAGTGCCTTTTTGAGCAGATTGGAGCCAATTTGGCCCATATCCAGCCTGAAAATCTCCAAAATGTCCAAAAAATGCATTTTTGGCAAAAAGCTCCGAGAGTCAATGGGTTAACAGTCTAGGACTTGTTGCTTTGTGGGTTAATTGATCAACAAAAGGCAAATTCACCTGTAATATCAATGGTCCAGCCAGCACACTCACCTGTGAAAGGTGTTATGGGTTACAGCTGTTAATGGCAGCTGTGGCTACATTCTAGGGAGACAAAGTGGTTAACTCAATAAGTTTTGAAAGTGAAGAATGATCATCGCAGTAAATTTTCCAATTTAAGCAATTAGAAAGAAGAAG